ATAACATTTGTGTGCTGGCTGTGTTGTTTACTTGTGATCCAGTTTACCCCATTCTGGATGGGCTGTTTGTTGCGTCATTACAAGTTTGCTCAGTTTAGGCCAAAAACTGCATTTTCAGTGGCCGAATTTTCAATGCATCCCTAACAGAATTACAAATAATTATATTTTTTCCTTCCACTCAACTTTCTTTTTACATGCCTGGATACAGCATTCAAAATGGATCATTTTTCAGCATTTGGTGGATACTCATCCAAAGAGGACTACAAAGGAGCACTAAGAGTGTCTCCAAATATCGACCAGTCTACTGCTGATAAGTAATCAATATTCCCCATGATTGTATCAACCAGGGGTCTACAACTTTTACTGCTAAAGTGCCATTTTTATACTCAGTCTAATTAAATAGAACTTGTTTAGAGCTGCTAAATTTACATGACTTTTTTTCTTATGAATATCTACTGTAAAACATTGATTGTCATTTTTAAACAGCCACTATTTTCTATATAAGTTTTCGTAAGAAACAAAAACGATTTTCTTCAAGATTTGGCTATTAGTGTAAAATTATGCAATCAAAGCTCAATGTTTACAACCGCATAAAAATAGATCTAAAAAGTATTACTTCTCTATTGTAAAAATTCAATGTAAACTGAGTTTTAGTTTTTCACTGACTGTAAGCTCAGATTCAATTTTAAAAGCACTTAAATTACATCACTAGGCGTGGTATAAAATCAACAAACTATGAGTGTCATGTCATTTATTTACTAATGATATGATTTTCTTAGATGCTCTTGTATAATCATTCACCCCACCCAAAAACAACTAAAACCAATAGAAGATTAATGTAAAAAAAAAAATGTTTTTTGTTTGTTTTCTATATCAGATATAGGAGAATCATGTACCTTTCCAATGGCACCCAGCTCCACACCTTCCAGGGAAGGCAGCAGATCAGCAGCAACAACAGAAGATAATCTTTGTCTCTGAGCGTCCAGCTTCGGATCACTGCTCATACACAGACACATATATTTATGTAATTTCTGACACCAACGCAGCTCTTCATTGGGGATGACATGGATCACATGGATGGATGATGGAAACATAAATGTGAGATCAGGAGGGGGGGAGGGAGTTGCTGCATCCTTAGTACCTGAGATTAGCACTTTCTCCATAGGGCAGCACTGAGAAAGCAGCATAAAGCGACCGCTTGGCACAAATCAGCGTGATCCTGCAGGACACAGCATGAACAGGCAGACAAAACAGATGGAGTGTCAGTCTACAGACAGCAGACAGGCACTGCTAGGCTACACACCACAGATATTAGCTGTAGTGACTAGGGATGGGCAGTGATCTTTTGCTTTCTTTTTATATTGACAATAAATACAAAGATGATGATGCTAACAGGATCTAAAACTTAATTATCATTAAGATTAGCTTATTATACCGCCTCTCTTCTCCAGCTGTAGGCTCCATTAGAGCAGCAGAGATAAATATAAAAGCCCAAACATCAAATGCCAGTTAACAGCTGTGTTTGTGGGGCTTTGGCTCAACTCTAGTAAAGTAACAGACATAAAATCTATTACTAAACATATTTTTTATTCATCATCATCATTGCTATTGTAATAAACACCAAAATATTTTTTTTTTTTCTCCATATCGCCCATCCCTAGCACTGACAGACAATCACAGAGCCACATCTACGACAGTCACCACTGAAGCGTCAGTCACAGCTATGAAAACCACTGAAAGCAACGTTAGAGAGGGTTATTTCTAACATTTATAACTAATGAGATTCAGATTGTTGATTTTTCATTAAAAAGCTTCAGCTGTTCTTATCTCAAGATATTCAGAAATTCTTTAGCAGGTCAAATGAAATAAAGACTTTTATAGAACGCTTTTTGAATGCGTGTATAAGAATTTCTCTTTCAAAAGAAATTTCGTACATGTTTTAAAACCTTTCGAGCATTTACTTGCTGAGGGAAACATGTATTTATGCTGAAAAGGTTTTGCAACCATTTCCTTGACTTTAGGAAATGTATTTAGCTCAGCATCTCTGATCATACTGACTGATTAAAGCTCAGCGGCAAACGTCAGTTTAACACTAGTGGATAAAATAACTTTTTAAAAAACTACAACAACCTTGGTGAGCTGAAGAAAGATGAGGAAGGAACGATAAATCGTTATTAGTTGATGTTTGTCAATCGTTAACATATCAGCATCTTTAACACATCAGTCCCATAAATAAAACAACAGATATTAACAAATGCTGGTCTTTTTATCTATTTCATTTCTATTTTTTTTATCTATTTCTTGTAAGTAAGAAATGTAAATGAATGTAAGCGATGAGGTTGTTTTTTGTTTGTTTTCCTAGTGTGTCAAAATGGTCAAGAAATTCTTATAATATAGTTATAAGTTCTGGACTTTAAAAGCAAATTTAATATTTGATATAAATATCACCAATTTTCACATTTCTGCATCTCCTCCCTCTATGTAATAAAGTTACAGTTTTATTTAACTGTGATTACAGTTTTCCTTCGATAAAGATGAAAACCAAACAATCCACAGACTGATGTTGCTAATTTTCTAAACTTAAAAACTTATTTCCATTATCTAGCTCTAAAACAGAAAGAAAAGAAAAAAGTAGACGTTTCATTTTTCTACTTCTTTTTGTTACTCTTACTAAAAGAATTTTATCTTGCAAAGATTTTCTTATTCAAAGTATTTTTTTGTTGAATTTTTTTCTCCAATAAGTCAAGGGTAGAGCTAAATGCTGCTATTGTTAGTTTCTAATTACATATACCAATAGTGAGGAACTTTTATACATTGTGACCTACATATTATTTCTCTCCATCTACTCATAAATGAAAAAGAACATTTGTAGGGCTGCGACTAATAATTATTTTGTTAATTGATTAATCTGTTGATTATTCTTTCAAGTGATCAATTAATAAAAGCATAGCAAAAGGTCCCCTGAAGATGATTTTATAGAGAATTTAAACCAGGTGAAGCTTAACTAGTCCACCTAGGGAAATCTAAATACAGCATTTTGATGGATTTTTTTTTCATCATAATTGGGAAATGTTAAGCTTTTATTTAACAATTTTTGGTATAACGACTACTTTATTCAATTCAATTCAGTTTATTTATATAGCGCCAAATTCACAACACATGTCATCTCAAGGTTCTTTACAGTTCAACCAGATCATTCAGTCAAATTGATACAACGTTTTCTATCTAAGGAAAACCAGTTGATTGCATCGACTCATTGACTCAAATACAATCCCTCACACTTAACATGCTTGTAGCGACAGTGGAGAGGAAAAACTCCCTTTTAACAGGAAGAAACCTCCAGCAGAGGTAGGCTGCTCTTGTAATTAACGTAATTTTCGGACTATAAGCCGCAACTTTTTCCCCATTTTTCGACCTTGCGGCTTAAATAACAATGCGGCTTATCGATGGACTTCTGCAGCTAACGGCCACTAGCGTAATACCTAAATCTATGGATTTTACCATCCACCATGTTGGCGTCACATTTGCTTCAACACACAAGTGCGGTAGCTGCTCGCGGGAATGCGGAGGTCCTCCGGAAGCAGACTTCTACCGCGAGTGGTACGAGACAGAACGACAGCGAGAAAGACTGACATTAAACATAAAAAAACCTGCAGCTTATAGTCCGGTGCGGCTTGTATATGTTGAAATCATGCAATTTAGCTTCTGCGGCTTATTTTCAAGTGCGGCAAAAATTCCGAAAATTACGGTACTAGCATGTTTTATGGTCTTTATACTCCAGTTAACAATCAGTCGATTACCAAATTATTAAAATAATTTCAATAATCGATTAATCATGATTACTCCACTTAATTAATTAAGACATTTGCTTTTCATAGAATATCGGTATTCAATTTAAAAATACTTAGTTATCTCAAAGGGAAATTAAATAATATATAACAAAAACTAGCTGAAAGGTGACTCAAGAACCAAGGTGTGTACAGATCTAGGATATTTGTGTGGTGGAACAAGCTTAGGTAAATCTTAGATATCTACTATTTTTGACTTGATGAAGAAACCTTACATAAGTTGATCACAGTATGATAAAAACATTAAATGCTTAATTTGTTTTTTACGTTACATCTTTCACTATCCTCTGAGTCCATTTTGTTTTTTGTTAAAGACACACAGACTAGAGGCAGATCAGCCAAAACACGAGGCATGAACAAACAAACAGACAGACTCTCTGACTCTATGGAGCTTCTCTCTATAAAGTAAAAAGTGGAGAAACCGGCTTCTCCCAGTCTTCTTGAAAGCATCATGACCAGTAAACCTACAAGAACACCAGGGCTTTACCTGTTCACAAGACAACAATGACATGCAATCTGCAGTCTGCTCTGTGACAACCTACCAACACACACCCAGAGCTTAACAACTAAAAGCACCTGCTAGAGTTTATGACCTCAACTTACACAATATAAACAGGTTTGCTTCCCCTTTGGAAAAAAACAAAACAGAAACTCAACCTGTGGGGGAGTTTAGGATTGATACATCATTTTATTTGCACAGACGGGCAGGAAAAAGACGTACAAATGTATATGGAGATGGATATGAAGGAGATGATAAGACAAATGAAACACTGAAGTTAATGTTGCTTTTTCTTGTGTGTGTGTGATGTTTATGAGGGTAAAATTCAAAGATGTACTTATCTGCACTTGTGTGGACAACAAGCTTAATAAGCTACCAACAGTATGTTATTCAAGCCACATCTTGCTTGAGGATAACGTTACCGCTGGTGCAATACAGTGTTAGATTTCTTCACTGCACCCCTTTTGGCTTTTGCTAAGCTACCAAGGGTGATTAAATTCACTGTTGCAATCCTCTCACAGCAGCTGTGTATCCTGGTTATTTCTCTGCAGCCTCTCTACCAGAAGTAATCAGCTTATAACAACTCTATGCAAGAGCATTATGCTTCTGCTATTATAGTAGCCTACCTTTCCAGATATTACAACCAAACAGCTTTTATTTATTATATTGTGTTAAAAAGTGTGATTCTAAAAGCTTTCTATAGACGTACCTGCTTCCTCTTGTATCATATTGCCTCATGCTCTTGATGAAGTGGACTTTCTTTGGCACCTTGGGTCCAGGAGAACCAGAACCGTTCCTCTGTCTGCACCAAGAGACAAAAAATAGACCACTTTAATGAAAGTTTCACAAGCAAACCCAAAACATGAATGTAATGTAGCCTCTGGCTCACTTCTTCACACCAAAAAAAATTGCCCTCCTTGGTCTTTATGTAAACAGGTTATTAAAACTATAAAATGTATTCCTGATGTTAATGTTTGCTTGAGTAATATTCATTAATCCAAGAAAATAAACACTTCACTGAAGCTATTTTATGTGATATCAAAGTTAGATTTGGATCTTGTTGACCTGGGCTACCTGTCCTTGCCTGCTCAACCACTCCCACTATGCAGGATTGAAAAGGGACCCAGTCTATGTTGTTGACTACTTTCAGTTTTTAAAAATCACATTTATGCATCTAGATAATTTTTAACTAAATGAATCATATAAAAAAACAGACTATTATTTATTTTTGCAAATAAAAAATAAAGGCTTCATCCAACTTGACAAGCTGCAGCACCTTATGCATTTACTTTATACTTGCACTTATTTTTTTTTGCATGTTGAATATGTAATATATTGGTCTCAAAGACCCTTACATCACAGCTGAGAGGCGTGTCAGACGCTGATTCATTCATTAACATTCAATCACCACTCAAAACAATTAATAAAAATTATTGTAATATACATGTAATAAACTGAGCATATACATACGGTAGAGTATTAGGGCCACAGAAAAAAAAGTCCCTGGTGATGCTATTTCATTTATATAAGAGCAGTTAGTTTAGTCTCTAGACATGGCTATGTATGAGGTGCCCCCAGGGACATAAATCAGAATTAACTTGCATATACACATATTAAATTACACTCTTCC